TGTGGGCTGAGATTAAAAAATATATATATTTACTAAGACAGAAAAGGAAAAACAGAAACAAAACATGCAATGATAAAAATACTGGGTCCAAAACGAATGCCTCCTGTTTTATGTTGGCCCATGATGACAGATGCAGATGTTGGTGGTATGGCAGTAGAGGTTGAACCTTCCCACCAATATTCCATTACATTTCGTTGCAATGCAACAGAAGACAGCAAATGGACAGTCAGTCAAAAAGATGTCTGACATGGAAGCATGGATGAAGCAAAGGGGCATCACCAAATCCCCCATGCAGAAAAAATGGCACCTACTGACTTCACAGACATTTGCTTATGGAGACCAAACAGTGGATACGAGCACAGTGAGGTGGTGAGTGGTGTGTCTCAACAGTGGCAGCAGCAAAGTGAAAGATAAGCCACGTTCTAGACATCCATGGACAGCTGTCACACTATTAAATAAAAAGCATCTCAATCAGTCCATCTGCATAAATCAGTGGATTATGATTGGGGAAAGTCAGCTTCAGTGTGTTATAAATTGATGTGGCAACATTAGAATATCATAAAGCTTACTCCAGGTGGGTCCAGCAAATGCTCACATAGGAACAGAAAGAACATCGTATACAATTTTATCAGGACCTACTCAACTAATACAAGGCTAAAGGTGATAGTCTATTGCAGCGCAATAATGCCTGACTCCATACCTGTTTGAAAACCGTGGAGTGCACTGCCAGTCTTGGCTAGACTGTCCCACCACATCCACCATATAGTCTGGATTTAGCACCTTCTGATTTCCATCTGTCCAGGCCAATAAAAGATGGGACTGCACGGGGAACATTTTCCTAGCAACAGTGCCATCGTAGCAGTTGTGGAACAGTGGGTCACTCTCACTGGTACAGATTTTAACACAGATTTGTACGTGAGGTTTGTAGACTCTTGTTAATTGCTAGTGAAAATACACAGCTAATGGTAGTGACTGCTGAAAACTGGTGTTTTGTAGCTGAGAATTTGCTTTATCAAATAGTGTTATCGCACTCTTTGTACTGCTGTTGCTTCCATGTAAATAAGAGGCATTACTTATGGAGCAACCTACATACACATCTGCAGTGCAATCACTCGTCAACCTCTGACCAACACACAGCAAGGCAATGTCTCACCACCTGCCAACCAATACCCAGCAACCCCTAAGCAGTGGCCTTCCCTCAGACAACTCCCTGTAGCTTCATAGTCCTCCAGTGCCAAATTCAGGCCAGCTGCCCTGGCTCCTCTCTGCCCTCTGCTGCCTCCTCATGAAGGCTGTGGCTCTTCCCCACTGAGTGGCCCAGCCTGGCCCAAGGTACACTCCCATCACTCAGCAACAACCAAACATCCAGACTCTATTAACACTGTCTCAGCTGAAACCAGGACATGGGATTACGCTTGTATGCAGACACAAGTGAACACAGTGAAACCTGAAGGTAAAGGTCCTTGAAACTCACTTCTCTTCATACACTGGAAACCCAGGTCCTATGAAGGTTGCAAGACTCTCAAGATAAATGATGTGGTTAAAAATATCAAGGACATGAATTGCAAGGTTACTATTTGTGCAAATAAGTTTTTGCTCTTAACAATTATTAAGATTGGTGGATATACAGAGCAATTGCAGAGGCTTTTTTTTTTTTCCAACATACTTAAGTACAGACTTACAGCAACAGAGAATGAGATCCATAAATTGTCCTTTCTATCTCACCAGAGCTGAAACAACCAAAAATGTCATTCCTTCATCCTAAAATTGGGCACATCTGTTCTTGCATCCCCTAGGAATACAAATAGTCTGAAAAGCCTTTCACCGACAGGCTCTCTAATGTTGATGAATGTTAATGCACAATGTTAGTTGCCAGTCTCCACCTTGTGGCGAAAAGATCATCTGCATAAGCATTTGGAGATAGCTTTGAGGATCACAGTGGTACCCCAAGGGAACAATCATGGTATGTGTTAGAACAGCACATGAAAGAAAGCTACAATTAAAGATTTTCAGTAACATGTGCATATTATACTTCTACGTTTCACTGCCAGTAGTATAAAAGCAACATCTCAACTTCCTTAACTCTCCCATTTCTCCTCCGTACAGTTGTTAAGATCAACTTTTGCCAGTATAAAAAAAAAAAAAAAAAGTGAAATCTCGCATAATCCTGAAGCTATTAAAGCATCTCTCAGAATGTTTAGTGTCAGGGTCAGTGTTCCATTGTTATTGCAGTTAGATTTACTCAACTTTTGTTGATGGTAGTAATGCATATAACCTAAAAGTACAGTATCTGCATTAAGACCTGCAAATTTTAGTTAAAAAAAAAAAAAAAAAAAATCAGCCTGCCAAATTTTTTATGGAATCAATTCTGCAGAAGCAGACAAACTCTCAGCCAGCTACAGCAATGGCTCCATCCATTTTGTCATCCACAGATGAAGGGGAGCCATCACATCACTTACACAATGCAATTATGTAAAAAACAGATATTTCTATGCACTGAAACTTTGGGTTTTAAAGTTAATCAAAAATGTAATATCTAACTAAGTGGATACTAGGACTTTATCCTAGTTAATGCACATGAAATTATCAAACATCTAAAAAATTCTCAAAGTTCAGAGCTACATCACAGTGCTACAAGACACTTAATTCTCAGTTACACTGCAAACAGTATGCAGAACTCTACATGGAAGTATAACTGAATGGGAACAGGAGGTTATGCCTATTTTCTTTTAGTACTGCACTGACTGCCAGTATTAGCTGCATTGTTTCCATGTTTCCAAACTACTAGCAATTGCTTTCATTTCCAGAACATCCCTAGGTTTTTCAAAAACTGTTTTTCACCAGTGTTTTTGGACTCTACAGCACTGCAGTGAGACAAAACCCGACTCTGCTTGCTGATGGTGCTCCTAAGCAATACCTGCAGTAGTTTGCTCCTTCTGATAGCATAATACACTTTTCTGTTAGAAGACAAGTTTCAAATGCCAGTACAACACAATGCCAACACAGAGAAAGCAACTACAGCTACTGGCCTGTAGCCAACAGGGTGACACTTCTGCAGCATCTTCCCTCTGATGCATTCCTTCATCATAGTGAGGCTCAGGCTATAGCAATTAAATGGAAATTCCCCCAGTCAGTTGTCTTGAGATTATTTAATATGTCTATATTTTAGAGAACAAAAAAAAACACCTCAAGAAAGTTGGTATGAAAGAGGCCAGGGGAACAACACACAAAGTATTGCTTGTTTAAGAAAAAAAAAAAAAAAAAACTTCCTTCAGCAGGTAAAATACAGCCTATTACCTAAGATTTGCATCTTAGAAGTTGACAGCTGGAACAAAAGTAACTTAAATAGACAACATTATTACACAGAACTAAAATACTCTGTCATTTAACAATCAATATATATCAGAGCATTCAAAATCTTGCACGTCCTCAGTGTGTGACTAAGATCAGTTACTCAAGTCAGCAGTAGTTCACATCTGAATTTCAGTCCACAGTCTACCTGTCAAGCTGAACCAGGGCTGCACCAGCCCCAACATGCACTGATTGCAGCTTGATGTACAACCACTTCCCCATGCACACTGGCTGCAGCATGGCCATCAAACCAGCTTTATGCTTGTCTTCTTCCCAGAGTCCTTCCAGAAAATCTGACAGATTGCACAGACATTTACATATCCACTATTAAAGTCCACTAGACTCATTCTGTATGTTAACAGGTAGGAAAATTGCAACATGGATGCTTGCTCTGTCCAAAAGACATAGCCTCCCTTTCAATACCAAAACCTCTAAGGAATATTTCCACTGTTAACAAAATAAAAAGCCAGAAAGATTTAGTGCAGTGTGACTGCGTTAGTAGTATCCTGCATTTCAACCACAGGATAATGTATTTATCTTGTTCATACAACTGCTGCATTTCAAAGAAAAGCAGCACATTAAGGTTGTTACAAAAAAAAAAAAAAGTCATTCTGTGAATCTTGCATTTCTTTAAAAGCCTGTCCAATTTAAGAGCAAATTCATTCCTCTGCGCACCTCAGAAAGCTAGTTCTGATGGGAATAGTGTTCAAATGCATAATTTTAGCAGAGTTATTACGGAGTTCAGTGAAGTACTTCAAAATGCTGTACTTCGATGCTACACACATTAGAAAACTAGTTGAAGTATGGGCACAGCACAAAATAACTTCAGAGACACTTCACTCATCTGTCTGCTCGCTCTCATCAGGTTTTTTCTTGTTACAATTGCATAGAGCTTCGTGGTATTCTAAGTTTAGAATAAAGAAGTATCTTCAGATGAAAGCTTTACCACAGTTGCATTATACCTGAAGTAGCCATACTGCAGCAAGCATATCAATTTTTAATTATTTTTAAATGGAATTGGATTAGAAACTTGATACAAGAACAAAGTCTTATATGAACTGCATAAGGCATTTCATAAAATGCCAAGCATTATAACAAATAGATTAATATGTATAAAATCTATTTTCCACAAAGCAAAACCAGTAATTTCCATTAGGAATTGATAAAAAAAGCAAAAAGAATATTTACTTCCAAATGACTAATTTTCTTGTCACATTGTACCTATGTCAAATTCTTACATCTTTATGGATAACACAAATTTTCATGTCTTAAACTGTATTACTGAAGACATTAGCTTAGAAACCATGTCCATCTTTGTAAAGTACACCCGTTCTGCTTTTCCAAGAACTGCTTGCAGCTGAACTATTTTGCAGTATGCCTTCCTGATTATTGAAATTATGTTTTTAAGTTCAAAGGCACAAACAATTTCAGCTGAAAATGGAAAAAGACAAGTCAGTTTGGAAAGCCCAAATTTCATGCAAAAATCCAAACAAAGTACTATAAGGAAAGAAAACAGCCTGCTACTATATTTTGTTAGTTTTGCTGGGTTGTTTTTGTTTGTTTGTCTTTGTTTGTGAAAAAGATGTATCTGAAAAATATAGATTACAATACTTATAACAGTAGTACTTCTTTACATCTAGATACCATACCTGTGTGAAATACTTTCCATCTTGCTTCAGGACTTTCATTGAGAGGTCAAGAATCAATCGCAGAAATTCCCACGTAGAATCTACAGAGTATGATCAATAAACAAATATCATTGGCTTTATATAGTCATGACCTACAACACGCCTACCATCTAGAAAGCAGCTATCTTTCAGCTTGAAAGAAAACAACAAAGAAACAAACAAGAAAAATAAATCAAAGTGTCATGATTTTGTGATTTTTGGTTTTCGGTATTCCACATCATAACATCATGTGGGGCACTGGGAGTTTAACTGTCAACGCTCAAGTCCTGGGCACCTGCCCAGAAGAAGAGAAGAACTACATTCCCCAGGGGACCTTGCGGTCAGGGAGAGGAGATTTAACCCCTGGCAAGGTCACCTGATGGGCTCTTTTTCGCCTGCCCTTTGTCGTGGGCGCTGCTCCCATCTCCCTGCTGCTCAACTGGACTGCACATCTCACCTCAGCATTGTGGTGAGGCCTGTCCACCCTTCAGACATTCTCTCTCTCATTATATTTGATTTATTAGCTTCAATTCTGATTATATTGTATTATAGTGTGTTATCTTGCATTCCGATAATGTATTTAGTAAATTAGTTTGTTTCTTCTCAGATCGTTGCCACTGTTTTCAATTACTTTGGGGTCTCCTGTTTCTTTTTTTCCGGAGGTGCGGATCTGCGGATCCCTCTGCCCCACTCAGCACGGAACCGGGCCAAACCAGCCCGTAAACCATTGACATTCTTGGTGGAGGGACCGTTGACACAAAGCCTCTATAAAACCCTCACACGATAGCAACAAAGAAGTGAATATCTCCAGTTTTCTTTACTGTAATATTCTGTATGTTTTCTTTTGTTTGTTTTTAATAATGTTTTCATTACTTTGGGTAGGGAGAGGATATGTGGCAGCATGGGTGCGAGTGCATACAATACTGGAATGTGAACTCACTGAACACTTTTCTCAAGAGTTACTTGAGCTCACATTATTCTGGAGTATGAGCACAGTTTTCAAAGAAGTTCAATGCACCTACTTTTATCTAATGCTTAAGAGAAATTTGAAAGATATGCTATCATTTTCTGCGCTTCAATAAAGCTGCCACTAAAAGAAAGGTAAGAATCAAAGTGTTTTTAATTCAAATTGCCAATTGTTATGCAGTAGGGACTGAGATTGAGAAGTTACACAGAAGTGGAGGAAAATAAATTAGAAGATTAACCTTCTTCTGGAGATGTGGAGATTGGAACAGCTGTCAGATCATTAATTACATAATCGAACATCCTTCCTTCTTTGGCATACCTCTTCAGTACAGGAATACAGTCTTCAATTAGAACCTAAAAGAATGAAATACTGTAATTAATCTTCAAAATACCCTAGAACTGACCTGGAAAAAGGAACAAACATGGATTCACAGGAACTAAGCAAGGAATGAAGTGCAAAATTTAAAATGGATTTAACTTCTAGTTATATTTTCATATTTTTATGTCATTATAAAGCAGGAATAATAAGAAGTGCAAGGCACCACAAGATTCAATTTCCTAGCTCGGACTTCTAGGTAGCCTCTGTTCTGTCAAATGGTAACACTTCCAGTCTCCTAACACAGTAGTAAAATAAGGTATTTGTATGAAGGGCCACTGACTCATGTAAAGTAGCATACAACTTCCCAGTTAATTTTTAATGTGCTTTTTTTTTTTTTAAACACACACCTTCAAACTAGTATTTATGAGAATGTTAAGCAGCAGGAATGAAAACAGAACAAGATATCAGATCATATCAGTAAAAAGATGTCAGATGCGGCATGGAAGACTGCGTGCCTTTAAACACTAAGAGTGCAGTGGTAAGATTTTCTCTGAAAATTAAAAAAAAAGTTTTTGTTTTTTTTTTTTTTTAAACAGATATTCTCAATAGTGAAGAACGACCTAACTTAAATACACATTTCTTCTCAGATCTTTATAACAATTTAGGGAATTGTATTTAAGACTGCATCCCTATAACTATTTCCTCTTCATTTATAAGTTGTGGCAATAGGCAACTTTCGTATTTCACATTCCTTCTGGGTATACGTAGTTATTTTTAAAATAATTCAAAAGTGAAGAATTAAAATAATGCATACTTTCAATACAAGTTCCACTGGCAGCTATTAGCATTTAGGAATTTCAAAAGGAAAAGAAATTCTTCCCAAAATTAAGAAAGATCAGAAGGCTCTTCTACCAAACTTTCCCGCAGCAATCTCCCAGCCTCAATGTCACATTTGAAATGTTACTCTCAACAAAAGCAAAATAAAAAAATACCTGATAGCACTCTCCTTTCAGATTGTCTAAGACATCTCCGCATGTTTTACGCATGTACTTTTTACACCCGTCGATCACCATTTGGTCAATGTTTGAAGACAGTTAAGGCATTCAGCATCCCAGAAATAATACAGGTTATGAGAATTTCATTTTCTTCAAGAAAAAAATTGTCAAAAAGGTGAAATTCACAAAGGAATAATAAGGTGTAGTTATGAATCACAATAGCCAAGCTTACATCTTTGACCCCAAATTTAGACAGAGGGTCAAAAAGCACTTATTTTTGTTTTCAACCACTGTTTATGGCACATTAGGTTACCATTAATGTTAAAGCTCCATGCTCACAAGAAAGAAATTTCAATTCAGACTATCTCCTCATGCAAATTAGAGTCTGGTAGTTGTACTTAACGCTAAAACATGCAGACTGCACAACACTGAAATGACCAGTCATTTGTCAAAGGATATCTCTACCATAGTAACCATCTTTGGCTTCAGTTTGACTATCTCATACAGAATACCCCCATCACCACCTCCAAGGATCAGCACTTCTTTGCCAGTGTAGTCTTCCTTTCCGCTGCCCATTATGGCTCGAGTATATGCCAAGTCACTTTCTGCCAGATCTGAATGGAAGGAAGAGAAAGAGTTGGACAGAAACATCTTTAGTTCTTTTGATTAATCCCCAGGAGATACAATACAGATCAATGTAAGAGTAGCTATAGAAAGAACCTAACTGAGACACATCAGGTAGAAGCAGACTGGTGATTTACCAGAGCTAATGAAATCCTCCTCTGAATTTCATACAGGACTTCTGCATTCCTCAAAGCAAACTCAACAGTGGCTGCATCAACGTTACCAAGTACTGTATGCCAAGACAAGCACATCTGCAGTGCAAAAGAGGCAGTACTTAGGACTTGACGTCCACACTTGACACACTTCAATGGGTTTTTACCTCAAATTAATGCAGCAAAAGACAATCAGGAGACTTTTGGAAGCACTCTCAGAACCCCAACTAAAAAGATCAACCTAGATGCACCCTGCAGATCCCTGCACAGAAGAATAAGCATGACCATTAATATCTGGTACCTTCAAAACAGGCAATAACTTTCCTGGCTCTAATATCAGATCTAAGTTACAAGAGCAAACCAATGATGTGCTGCTATACCAAGCACATTCTAATACTGTGCCTGCCAATCAGCACTTAGTTTATAATGGCACAATAACAGAATTACAGACCATTGTTTTAAAATTCTGTGGAAGGTAAATAAGTAATGGCATACTTCTCTTTCTATGTGGCATGCTGTGACAACATTCAAAGAAAACCTCATTTCCATATGAAAAATCAAAATGAAAATTTCTGGCCAGAAGTGTGGAATACTTAATTTGGCAATTCAGATACAACTCTAACAGAATTAAAGAATACTCAGCTGATGAATTCAGTATTAACAACACTCACAGCTGCCATCTGCACAGAATTCTTTAAGTCCCCTTGACAGATGGTGATAGCTACATTGAATGGTTAGAGGTATTTCTGGTGATTTCAAAAGCTATATTCAAAAGTCTTAATTACTCAGCCTCAAATTAGCTATCCTAACCCTAGACAGGAACATCCCTCATTTACTTCAGTCAGTGCATTTAAATATAAATACAAAGGGACTTCACAAAGCATATTCCTTGATATGTCTAGTCTTCATTACAAATAGCATCCTTATGTGGATTAAAAGAACAGTAACCCATCTTCTCTCAGATTTACTTTCAAAAACACAGAGAACAACAGGCAGAGGTAGTCCATAGATAGAACCTCTCCTAAAATCTGGGTCACTCTTCCAACTAACTTGAAGTTCAACTTAGCATTCTGGAGAAGAAAGAGGCAAAACAAGTTCAACAACACAGCAGCTAAATGGGATACAGCTGTTCTGGCTGATCTCACTGAGGAAATAATTTCAGCATCACAAAAAATAGGGCAGTAGATTACCACCCCCCACACACCACCGTTTCTTCCTCTGGATACTCCCTGATAATTCCAATCTTCTGTATTGAAGATTGATAAAGTACTTTGTTTTACTGTCAAAGAGAAGCCCTCAAGAGGTTGCTATCACAACAAACAGTAAAAGATAAAGTGAACAAAGTGATTCAACGAGCTGTGGTAGAGAACGCTAACTTCACTTCTCCTGTGGTATTTTCCACAGCAAGAAAAACACTTTTGAAAGAGCATATACCTTGCTCATACTCCAGCTTTTACATCTGGTCATCCTTTCTGATTTAAATATTTTATATATAGGAACAGATGTGTACGTACACACATACATATACAAGACTTAGCTTCCTGTATCAGAACCACAACCTTCAGTAACCCATCAAAACTGACACAGTAAGAGAAAACACTTCTTACAATTTCACCCAGAAGATCCTCCACTGAGACAATACTTACTGACATCCCCACTGAGAATAAGAATATTCCCAAACTGTTTCGAATGCAGAATTTTAATGTTCTGAAAAGGTGAATCTTCATCATAAACAACTTCATCTATGTCGTACTCTACCAAGCGCCCATCGGCTGTGGGCCAGTATCTATCGATGACACCTCCTCTCAAAATGGCTGGCAATCTAGAAAGAGAGAAGAGAGAAAAAGATCACCAAACCTGTGAGAATGATTTTATTTTTTTTTTTTTAACAATCACTGGCTTCTGCATAATAAATATAATAAATAAATAGCATTTACAAGAGTAAACAAGAAAATTTGCAAGATTTAATGCTGAAGGCATTTAACAAACCCATGAGCCATATGTTAAATATACAAAATTTGCTAAGGTACCAATGGTGTAGCAGTGACCGCTTTTCATGTACAACTAAGTTCTACAAAGTGCACGAATACACCTCTAAGAGAAGACTTATGTAACACCGCCTCTGCAAAAGAATCAGTTTATGACCAGAAATTGCCACAATACAAAAATCAGAATGTGAACAAAAAACCAAACAACAAAATCAAAAATGACAAAACCTCTTCCCGTCTTTAGCTCAGCTAAGAATGCAATTTCTTTGAGATTAGTGAGTCTCACCCTTCTAAAGTTGTACTGAGACATTTTAAACATATACGGAAACACAAAAGCGAGCTATGACAGCGCTTTAAGCTGAGCCAGGTCTGCAGTGTTTAAGCACAATTCTTGATATCCACATATGTGACATCTCAGCTGCCAGCTTGTTTTATTTTTAAAATACATTTCAAAGCCACCTAGACAAACAGGTTGCTTTGTGCTTAATCTTTTCTTTCTTTTCCTTTTTCTTTTAAGTCCAACACAACTATGGTTGAAATCAGTGTTAGACCTGAAAAGACAAAATGTATTTGAAATGGTAGTAAACAATTATAAAATGATTGAACTCCACTTCATACAAATTGCACAGGCACAGAGTTCATCAAATTTCCATACACTCTAGATAACTAAGTCTTTTTCAGGAGAAGGTGCAGGAGAAAAATCAGACAGACAAGCTTCTTGCAAATTCACTAGGGATTCTCAGCAAACACTGTACAAAGTATTTCTGCTCTCAGTAAACCACGCGATGGCAGCACATGCTGAAGAAGCAAGAGCATCTATTCACAAGATCTATGAAAAAGGTAGAAAGAACAATTTCCAGCAGCACTAGTTTTGTTAGGGATCATGTGTGATTCAGAAGGATGCAAAACAAATTTTTAAAAGTTGAGGAGCATGTTACAAGATCCAATCCAGAAGCACTGTCCAAAGAAATTCATCTTCCTATACTCAGGAAACAAAACTAATCTAGATCACTTCAGATAGACTTTTTCCTGACCTATGTTTAACAAGTTCACATAACAGGGATTCTACAGACACCCAGAAGAGTATGTCAATATTAAAAAGTGTTCTACAAAAGACAGTACTTCCACTGCTTGCTGCCCATTCTCAAACCCAGCTCCATCAGATAAACCTGGACAATCCTGCTCTAGTTGCTGGGACTAAGCCACGTGAGACAGCAGTGGGAAAGGATGCCCACCTTGGCTCTGGCTTACGCTTTTGTCTGAGCTAAGCTACAGCTGTGCCTGCCCACATCTTTTGCCACTCCTGACACCCAGCCTGGAAGCATAAGGCCCTGTCTGGCACTATCAGCAACCCACTCCAGCCCTGCTTGCCCCATCAGGAGCCGTGGGACTGGATCTTGTAGGTAAAGTTCATGCTCTGGACTGGCCTGCTGCCACCCTTGGCTCCCTAGTTCTTCCACAGCAGAACACTCTTGCCTCCTGTTTGCATTTTCTCCCACCAATTCATGCAACTGTTGCAGAAAACAATAAAAGAAATAATTCTTGCCCAAGTAACAACACTGAAGGTCAAGCTTCACATGAGAAAAATCAGTGTCTTTAATTCTGCTATAAAACAGTTTCAAAATATTTGTGGAAAAACATACACAAGAATTCATACTCCAGACTACTTATTCACAGCAGCATAGCAAAGCATAATTTATTGTCTTCAGCAACCTAGACAAATGTGGAAGTCTATATATATGAACTTACCGCTTTACCCTTTTCAGATTGCCATGAAAAAATTCTTTCATTCTTTCTTCTACTTTGTTTAGAAGCTGAAAAAACAGCAAACAAAAGAGGTGGGAATTATAGAAGTCATCACTTGTTGTATAAAATCTTTTAAATTAGACTAGTTAGAAGGCAATAATAAGAAGCATCAGTAGTGAAAGACTTGCAACATAACATTATAAGTCCATGAATAATTATCTGCCCTGGCTTCATTAGTAGCAAGCAAACACATATTGCTAACAGTTGTCACTGCATTTAACTGTCCGGGTTAATGGCCACAACACTCAGACCCAACTTAAAGAGGGAGCAGAAGAATCCTGGAAAGTTTTAGTCCCCCCCAAAATCCCAACTCTGAATTTCACATCAGAGAAGCAGCAATTCTTCTTCCTCCTGGGAAAGAAAAGTTTTAGAACAAAGGTTCTCCGTCTCCCATATCAGAGAAGAAAATGATACTCTAGTACACCATGTGGTGGGTTGAACATCCCTTCTCTCTCTGCCCCGTGTATAGGAAGGCTAAAACAAGGCTGCAACATTTTTGAAACTTGTACAGCAAAGAATGTGAAGCCCAGTACATCCATGCAAGTATGTGTGTGCATTTGTACACAAATGTAATTACAACAGCCACTACTACTCCACATCTGGGAGCACTAAGATAGAACGAACACAATTATTTAAAAATATTTTACCAAGTTATGCTTTAATAGATGTGAAGAAAAGAAGGGGTTCCCCATGCAGTTTGCTAAGCATAAGAAAAGCATCCCTACTACCTGATCAGTTTCCTCTCTTCCTTTTGTATGATCATTGTAGCTCTGCAGGTCCACCAACACTAATCCATGAGGGTGAATTCTCAAATTGGCAAAACTACAAAATAAAGAAAGACAGTGATGACGGCTTTGTTAATAAAAATGAGAGGAAAGAAAGCCTGAAATTCATAGGTAAATTCAGAATGGCCAGTTCCTTTTTTTTTTGCTTTTTCCAGGAGCCTGTCAGTTGCTGATAGTTCCAGATCCATTATTCCTCAAGAAGTCACTCAGCAGTAAATGGAAAGCTGCAGTGGTATGCCAAACACTGCATAACTAATAAAACCAGCAGGCAGTAAGTTAATGAAGAAGATGTTTAAGCCAGAGCCACCATATTACTAGGGGAAGTACATTGTCTACTCTCAGCTGTTCAGCCTTCAGTAAGGCCTGCTTGGATAGGTGGGGTTTTCTTTATAATGAAATCAAGCCTGAAGAACACAATGTGATGTTTCTTCTCCTCCTACTTCTCACTTTTTGCCTTTTTCTTTTTCCTAAATGTATGGTAATCTCTCAAAGAGACAATGTTCAGATTCAAGCTGTATAAAAATTTACACATTGGAAAAAATAAACATTTACACACAATGAACAAGAAATTGCAGCAGCAAAACCTCAGTGATGAATGCAAATGCAAGAGTATGCTGTACACTGGCTTATTACAGCAACCAAGAACAAGGCTTCGTAAGAGCAGGGAGAACAAATGGAGGAGGACTTTCAGCTTGTAACAAACAGAAGATAAGCACTATGGAGAAGGACACACAAACAACACCAAAAAAAAAAAAAAAAAAAAACAGAAAGAGAGAAGCAAATGCTACACCCTTCCTGTGCTGGGGAGGGAAGAAGACAAAAAGAAGGGAATGGCTACAAGGAAATTATGTGCCACACACTTAGAAAAGATGACCCTGAGAAGCATCTGATTTTCCTCAAGACTTCATGAATAGGTCTTGCCTAAAGAAAGATGTTTTTATACAGCACACATGCCCAATTATCTGCACCTTTGCACCAAATTAATGATCTTCCCTACATTTCACCGATTGTCCACTAGATGTCTTCCCTACAAGTATTTTAGATTAGAGACTAGAAAACGCATACACTACAATGATCACTAAACTAAATCAGTGAAAAGCCATTAAGTATGTACTCTCCTGACACAGTCACCAGGAAATTATGCCTGCATAAATGATCCCAGTTGGTTCTGATGAAAGGATGTACAGAAAGTAATCAAGGAATAACACATCATCTTGTTCTTCATGTTGCTTTTTTTTCTACAGTTTGACAGAACTGCATCTAATTGAAACTGGATTTAAGAAAGGAGTGTCACGTTCCTCTGTGTAGAAAAAATGGCACCCATTGACATTCATCAACACTTGCTGAGCACTGATGGAGATAAAACAGTGGATGCGAGCACAGTGAGGTGGTGGGTGGTGTGAGCAAAGTGAGGTAGTGACACTGCAAAGCCACCATTCACTGGGTCCAACAGTGATTCTCACTAGGGCAACAGAGTACTGACACCTCACGGGGACGCCTCTTCCAAGTTAGATGACGGATTGGAGTAGTTCAGTGGGCCAGTAATTCACGTACTGAGGGTCCAGCTGGTAATACTGCTCTCAAACAGAAAACATATGTTAAATTGAAAAAACTTTCAAAGAAATTGCTGAGAAGGACATCAGGGCTCCAGCTGATGAAAAACTTAACATGATTAGCAGAGTGCACTTTCAGCCCAGAAGGCCAAAGATATGTTGGGCTCCATCAGGCAAGGGGTGACCAGTAGGACAAAGGAGGTGATTGTCTCTCACTATTCTGCCCATCTGAAGCCTCTGCTGGACTACTGCATCCAAGTCTGGAGCCCCCAGTGTAGGAAAGATGTGGAGCTTTTGGAGAGGGTCCAGAGGAGGGTCACAAAGATGATCCAAGGGCTATAGCAAGACCAAGACTGAACTCACAGACTAAGGTGAAACAAGGATATAGAAAAGGGTACTTTGCTTCTGCTTTCCTTCACTTGTCTAATGATAACATGTGAACAAAGGTTTTCAGCAGCAGCTCTTATGGAACAACAATAATACAGTTTCAGTATCATATCTCTGAAATTACAGCAAAGATTACTTTGCAGTCTGAATGACAAAATAGCTCCAAAAATTAAGGTTTTATCACAAGAATCCTCTTTCCTTCCTGTCTCACAGAAAAAAAAAAAATCCTAGTTTTCAAAGCTTGCTAGCACTTTCATAAAATGAACGAGGAAAAAACTCAAAAGTAAGGAAGGATCCTCTCCTTTCCATTAGGGCACAAAACATACGAAATGCAGCCCTTGTTATAACAAGGTCCTAGCATCCCACCTACACAAATCTTGTACAGCAGTACCCAGGCTTTTTGTGCTTGCAAGGAAATGGATTATGATCACAGAAATACTTTTATTGAGCCTTCCAAATACTGCCTCTTGCCTCAGTTTTATTTTTCAGAACAGGGAACATCAGATGTTAAGAAATAATTGTTTGAAACCAGAAAAGGTTTCGGATGAACAACTGAACTTAAAAAGAACCAGCAGGAGAGATCAACATATTCTAAACCAATATGTTTACCCTGCCTCAGTGACGTGATTGAAGAATAAGAAATACTGCAATCCTGCATATTCAACCTTATTTTTTTTTTTCCCTACAGATAAAAACTGGATAGACAGACAGGTCAGATAGGTACCTACAGCAGCCCTCTTCACTCCATCAAACCTTTAATCTGCTGAATGACTAACCTTGAGCCTGGACATAATAGTAAAGTATATGAAGAATACCTTCCCAAAGAAATTGCCACCTGTCAAATTACCCATGAGGGGAGGAACAAGAACTTACTTATAATAGAAAATCCCAAAATATATCATCAACAGCAAAAATACTATCAAGACAACAACACACAGGAGAACACTTTTTTTAAAATACTACTTATCTTAACTACAAATTACTTTAGAAACATTAATGAATTAAGCAACCACAGTCTTTTTCACTGTATGATTGTTTCTGTTCTCTTTTTTCTTTTTTAAACAAAGGAAGGAAATTAAAACAATGAAAACTATCATAGTTCTGAAGTGTTGCCTATTCCTAGCAGTTGCTTCCAACTGTTCTTCAGTCCATTTTCACACCCTAGGTAACTGAATAAAAAGCAACATTCTCATCTGGCACAGAGTTGAGAAATGCCCATCTAGCTCCTTTAAACGGTGCTGACTGCCACAGTAGTTAGCTAAACAATATGGTCAGGAAAAAGCATAGAAATACCTAACCCTCCCTTCTCAGTGTTAACATATTCATCACAATCGTCTCAGTGACAAACAAAGCTTCAACTGGTTAAATCTTGCACTGTTGTGACAATGAACTCAAATACCCCGAGGATTACCTTTCTCCAAAAAAGAACTCAGAACAGAGAAGCTTAAGATGGATGCATGAATAGGGGAAAGTCACTGCCTTTGTAAAAGAGAGTCTTGTAGAAACACCGGCTCAGAATTACAGGTTTTGTGGGCTTTTAAAAGAGCTTTCAGGTGCAAAGGGACAAAAAGAGGGATCAGGGAAGTATTTGAGTAGATGATGTGGGTAAGGAAGACTAAAGGACAAGAAACACTACAGCTGTGAGTACTATACTGAGTGTGTGTACAAGTAGTGATGATATCAAAATACAGTATTGGCTCTTCAATGATCTTCTTACCCTGGTTTTATTTTATTATTATTTTTACATCTTAAGAAGTAACGGGCCGTATGAAGTACCAGATATATTCAGCAAGATAAAGACTTCACATTCATATCTTAAAAAAAAAAACTTTCTAGTCTAAACCAGAGTGACACGTCAATGAAAGACACTTAAATGAAAATCAAGCTACTTACAGGGCTCCCAAAAATATGCAGTTTCTACAAGCAACGCAAAACTATACCTCAGGAAAACAAAACTGCTGAGATCCCCAAACCTCCCAGAACTGTAGCTAGCACATTACTATTTCCCAGTGCAGCATTTCCTTTAAGGGCTGGTCAAGAACAGAAAAACATTCACATCACTGTAAACACTGACCTGACTGGTTAAAGAGAGCGATTTCCTGAACAACTCCAGAGTGTGAATGGGTATTTCACTCACGGTTTCATCTGACAAACCGATTAGTAAAATGCTTTCAAATGAGCTTCCCTCAATTAGTTTAAGGTTTGTTATGCCCTGCCCCTCTGGCTAAGAGTAACTCACAATGCTAACAGGGCATGGTGCATGCTATCAGCACAGGTATTGGACTGTAGGCATTCCTGAACAAAATAGTACTATCCAATATCAAACATACACTTTTCTTGGGGTTAATACCCAGCTTACATTGGTTGCACATATGACTTGCTCAGTCATCTATGGATGATTAGAAAATGCATGTGCATGCACACCCTCATCACTTCCTCACAGTATGGTCATGCATCTTTCATGCTTGAGCAAGCTAGTCAGCTCCCTGCCACTTGCCAGGGAAATTTTGTACCCTGCATCCTTACAGGAAGTCATATGCAAAAACCACAGCTTCAGTCACATTATCTGCCCTTCATCAGTTTTTGTTCTGCTTTTCCACTATATACTACTTAATTTCAAGAAGGCCCTCACTTTGAAGGGAAAGAAGTCTGCATTCCCAGGCTACTTTCACACTAATTGTGTCAGACAGCATTTTTCTATTTTAGTTCATTTTGAGTAGCATTAAAAACTTGCAATATTTTAAAGTCTTCAAAAAGCAGACAAAATTGCTAGCATTAAAATAGAGCCCATGTGGTTGCCATCAAATCCTTTGCATGTATAACCAGTTCATTTTGCCATTCATGAATTATTTGCTTCAGCTCTGCTGTTATTTTTTTTTTTTTTGACCTGTCCAGCCCCCTGTTGTTTACAACAGGTTTGTTTCAGCTAACTGAAAGTATATCACAGCATGTTAATGGAAAACATGCTGTTTAAGGCTGTCTCGGATGAAGTATATACAACTTCTGTGAGGGATCTAAAATACCACAACTCAAGGAAAACAAAATGCTGAGGACCCTAGACTCACAGAAACTTCTCCTGCTGTACTCAAGTCAGTGTTTATTCAACGTGGCTGGCAAAGCACACAAAAATATATTTCACTCACACTACTACAGACAATGAGTTGAATAGCCGAAGACAGTAATTTCAGACTGCAGTTATAAGAAAGCAATAACCATTATTTATTGATTTATAAATAGAATTGCACTAAGAATCACTTGAAATGTGAACAGTCTCTTCTTAATGTTTAGCTCTTCCATCGTGGCGTTCTTCCTTCTTTAATTTTACTATACTTATGATGACCTCCTGAACTGCTCCTCTTAGAAGAGCAGCATCCGTGCCATATTAGAATTTTCATTTGAGCATTTATTTAATAATTACAGGGTTGAGCAGCCTCACTTGCCAGTGTAACTCTGAGCTGACAACATTTGTATGCAGTTTAGCATTAACATCGCTACAGTGGTTTACATACAGATCAAGATCAAAAACATTGACAGTTAACCACATTTCTGTTACGGAATAGGGAGAAGGGACAAATGCTACATTTACTGCTAAAACCAATATGCTGAATTAAGTGGTAGAGCAAGTTGGCCCATGCAAATCAAGAATGACAAAAAGTAATGCTGTAGGAGAAAAACTTCTTACGCCTCACTTAAGGATGCTCTAAATATCAAGATGTTCAAGTCCCCATTTGTCTTCCAAAACATCAGTGTTCTCTGGTATTTCTCATAGTGAGTTGAAAAGATTAACGCTGTTAGTCAAAGAGATGCCTGTTGTGTTACACTACTAAACAGAACCAATAATCAACTAGTTGCATTCAGCCTGGAAGGCTCAAGGAGATGAACTCTTCTGAGAATAGGTAGGCCCCATCCATGCTTACACTTAACTCCACTTCTCCTCTCCTTTTGAGTGAGGTTTCTCCTCCATCTCACCAACTGCCTCCTCAAAGCATCCAAAGCACCAGAGGCACTACAAGTCACTGGGGAAGAATTTTGTTATCATAAGGCTGACTGCATGTACTGCATACCCTGGAGCAAGGCATGAGGGAGAAGTAAGGCTACTTGATACAACTACATGACAGCAAAAGCAGCTCAAACCACAAAGCTTCAGTGATGCTGTCTTTTGGGAGTAGTCTCTGAAATAAAGAACCCTGCCAGCTCTTTCACAGATAAACTATTGGTCTAACCCAAGAGAATAAATTCAGGCACGTGCAGCTCATGGACATGGATGTCTGAGACACTGCACTACCACCCAACTCTGTTACTTAACACAGTAAACAATACCAAGATATCTAGAACTAAGATACAGCATAACAGACCACTTTTTCCCCTGCTGGAAGGCCACTAGGCCCAGCACCCTATCCTTCATCTTATCACAGCAGTAGGAATACTGACAACTATCCTCCAGTGCAAAAATATTAGAAGATGTGTTTGGCAGCACAACTAAAAGCTGAATGACTGAACATATACTGCTGCTGGCTGCACAGCTATCCATAGAGTGCTGAACAGGCTGGACATGTGGGCTTATAAAAATCTCAAAAATTCAGCAAGGAGAAGTGTAAAGTCCTGACCTGAGTAGGAATAACCTCAGACACCAGCACATACTGGGAGACACCCAAGTGCTCCTCAGAAAAGGACTTAGGAGGCATAATGGACAACCAATTTGAGTATACCCTTGCAGTCAGAAAGGGTAACAGTTATCCTTGGCTGCAGTAGGGAAAACACCACCAGCAGTTCAAGAGCTTCAGTTCAAGTTCAAACTTCTCCCACTATTCCACTGTGACTGGTGAGGCAACACCTGCAGTGCAGGATCCAGCTCTTGGGCTCCTCAGTAGAAGACAATTACTGGAAAGAGCTTGACAGAGGGAACAAAGATGAAGAAATTGGAGTCTCTCTCCCATGAGAAGAAGTTGAGGGAGTTGGGACTGTTAATTCCAACAAAGAAGAGGCTTAGGGAGATCTCAATATCTATAAACACCTGAAGGGAGGGTGCAGTGAAGATGAAGCCCTGACCTTTACAGCGGTGCTCAGTGCCAGGAGAGGAGGCAACAGGCACAAACTGGACTACAGGAGGTTCCCTCTGAACACTAGGGAGCACTTCTGTGTTGTACAGGCACCACAGAGCACTGGCACAGGCTGCCATGAGAGGCTGTGGAGTCTCCTGCTTGGAGATCAGCAGAAGCCACCTGGATGTGGTCCTGTGTACCCTGCACAAGCAGACAATGGACTAGTTCAACTGCTCTCATAACCATGTCAGAAGGTGGCACAATGTTCTCCACAGTATTCTGCATTGTTTTAGAGTAATTTCACGCACAAAATGGGTGAAAGAAGTCTCCTCTACCTGCACCCTGTAACATCTAATAAAGGAAGAAAAATATTTCTAAGTGTAAATAGACGGGAAATAAAAAGGAAAATCCACTCACCTGCCATTTTTTTTGATGTAGGTTGCCAAATAGCCATGATCTTCCCAGTTATGAACTGTTTCTGTCATTCCCTGCTCTTGAAAAACAGGCTGTAGAGCTTTAAGAACGGCATTACAATCAGCTGCAAGGTAGAACAGACATGGAAATAATCATTGAGAATTTTCCAGTTAAATCAGGTTTTTTTGTTGTTGTTGTTTTGTTTCTTTTCTTTGTATTGACACTGAAAAGTTTTTGCTGGCAACACAGTACACAGCTATTCCCTTGAGTTCTGCCTGAGCAACTGCTTTCAAGTTCATAGTTGATCTCACAAAGACAGAGGAAAAACAGCACAAAACTACTATCACGCATTTCCCAATCCATACAGATATTTTCTAGTTCATGGAGATTCCAAAGTTTTTTTTGTTTTTAATCAGTCTTTATCCCTGCACAAAAAAAGTCTTAATCTACAGTTCCCAGAATGAGTGGTTTTCCTATGTCTATTATTACTGGTCAACTCCTGTATGCTAAGGCAATCCAAGTCTTATTCATGTAATTAGTTTTATTACTTAAAAAGCCCAACAACAACCACAACAACCTCCACAACCCACAATCCCACAAATAAACTGCAGCACTGAGAAGAAGCCTGGTAGTTAACTTACCCTGGCTTAAGGCAATAAAAGTAGATAGAGCAAGCTGTCCTACCTAAATAGTGGTCATTTTCTCTTCCACTCCTTGAACCAACAGAAGCGAAAGAGAAAGATTTTTAATGCACCACACAACTGACTCTCAGCACACAGTAATGTTAAATTAATGCTAATACAAATTAAAATAGAAGCAAAGATGCATTTGCTTCCACCTTGACATGTGTCAAAACATACAATTTCCTTCTTGAAGAGTGATTGATAAGATTTCTGAACCCATGTTAGTCTGGGAACAGTAGGATGAGTAAGACAAATTTCAAAATTTACTTGATATTCAATGCTTGCTAAATTAAAGTATTTGAGATATGTCCTCTAAAGTGTATTGACTTAGTGACTTAGAGTTATAGAATGAAAAAAATCATGAAAAACATAATTCCACAACTCACACTAGCCTTCCACTTAGTAACTGATTGACAGAATTGGTATTGTGAGGTGTTCTCACAGGAATGGTCAGGCTACTCTGACAGATTTGTCTCATCTAGCATAAGCAAACAACCAGACAAATTGAAGTCAGATTACTGCAACCTATGCATCTGTTTCCATGAAGACTACACTGTTAATTCTGTTTTTCATCAGACAGACAGAAACAGAGGCAAAAGCACCTTTAATTTTCCATCTGCATTCCATCCCACAAGCAGATTAAGAACCCAGGGAGAAATGTCATTTTCTCCAACACCTAGGGCAACACAGACTTACATGCACAATCTTCAAGATGCTATGAAAATAAATCCACTTGGAAGTAACTGAGGACTTTTGAAAAAGCAAGCTAATGCTTTATACATAAGTATTTCTTCAGTTAGAAGATGCTGATGTTAGAAGGAATGAGTTTGGTGCATGCATAAGATTTTTTTTTTTCCTAAAGTCTTTTTTTTTTTTTTTTTGGAAGTGCATAGGAATACTTGCTATAACTACTATTTAAGCACTCCGTTCAAACAGATTTCCCAAAAACAAGCTGAGATCCACCAGCTGTTTGGAGTTGACTACAGAAGTTAATCAATGATCTGATAAAGCTACACCTATCAGAACTGAAACCAAGCTAGTGAGACTGTCACACCAGTAACTGTGTCAGTGAGAAGCCACAGACAGCTGCAGTGAGGGGAGTATAATCATTTTGCTTCATATGTGCAAAAGACTCAGCCATTATAGCCATACAAAATGCAAATATCACAAAGATCTAAAATAACTGAGAAATAACTGGCTTAGCTACTTGCAGACTGTTTACAACTCACTGCTTCTAGCCCTGACATTGTCCCTCCCAGCCCCAATTAAAGAACTATTCTAAGACAATTTGGTTTTATTCACAGCCCTCAACTGCATACATGTAGGCTGCTCAAAAACTAGTGCTTCCTATTTATTTCCATGAAAACTACAGATTCAAAGAGCACAACAGCACTGTTCAACAGATGGAATTCTCAGCTACAAAACACTGTTTTTCAACCTAGCCACCACCTTTTGCTATGCATTTTTGCCAGTGATGAACAAGAACCTCCATGCTATGCTTGTAACAACCTGTAGCCACAGAGGTGACCTACTGTCCCACCTCAGTGTGCTCACCTTCACTGATTGGTCTCCATAAACATTCAGCAAGCATCGGTGAGTATCAATGGGTGCCATTTTTTTTTCTGCACAGAGAAATTCAAAGACACACCTTTGCCTCCATTACACTTCTGTGTGAGACACCAATGTGTCAGATTGCTTCTCTGCTGCCTCACAGCCACAAAATGTAATGGGATATTGATGGGAAGGTTCAGTGCTTACAAGCCACAAACATTTGCTTCTGACATCACGGGCCAAGGCCACACAATGAGAGGAATTACTTTTGGATACCTTGGAAACAAGTGTCACCTCCAAAAACCAACCAGCAATAGCTTCCAGCATGTTCCTGATGCATGCATGTTTCGAGCAAATGAAGAGAACTATACCAAATAAATTGCACAAAGTTTGTCTCATCTAGCATAAGCAAGCAACCAGACAAATTGAAATCAGATTACTGCAACCTATGCATCTGTTATCCATGAAGACTACACTGTTAATTCCATTTTTCATCAGACAGACAGAAACAGAGGCAAAAGCACCTTTAATTTTCCATCTGCATTAAGTTTAGAGCAAGCCAATTCCCAATACCTTGCCAAGAACACTTATGAGAAGCAAAAAGGCCCTGCTTCTTACTGCTCATATTGTCTGACCTTTAATTTATATTTTGAGATATTTACCTCTTGTCTTTAATGTCTCACACATTAACTCCCCATTAATTGTTAATTCTAATTAACAGAAAACAAGTATCATTAGAGAGCAATGAATAATTTAACTGCTAGCACAACTGTAACCCTCTGTCAGTCAGTAAGCAGACCCACTGATGATTTGTATCCTCACTGAGGGAACATCTACAAGGTCTGCTATCATTATGAAGCTTTTTCTTCCCTACCCTACTGTGAAATGCACATGATTTGTACCATTACATTTTTGTACTTAATATTCAGCATCAGTCAGGTAAAAATCACGAGAACACAACAAGCAAAGTGTCTATTAAATAACTGTGGTTCCAGCAATAATAGATGAGACAGTCAAGCCAACATATTTTAGAACATAACCACAAAAGAAACAATCATAATTAGAGTTCCTAAATTGATCCTAGTTTTTGCAGCTTTGCATTGGGAAGGAGAGAGATGTTTCTCTCCCCTTGATCTCTCTCTTTTTTTTTTTCCTCCTTGTTCGCCATTTGTTTTGCTTTCTGTACTCCTTTATCATTTACAAAATCCATGTTCTTTAATGCTGTTCCAGTATGACACAGACAGTAACTTCAGTATCATGCCATACCCTTCCAGGTCAGCAAATTAGCACGAAACCTCACATAGAACTAGTATGTAACTGACTCCTACACCACTTCACTTCTGCAACTCCTGCAAGACACTTAATACGCTGAAAAAGAGATCCTCTGGAAGAACTTGTGTTCAAACCCCATTCATCTTTCAGCAACCCCAAGGATTCCTGTTGGACATGCTTTGGCAGAGACCACAAAATAAGTCATCACATTTTTCTGCTCTATGAAGATTCTAATCCCTCACAAGCTGCTCATCATTCTACAGCAGATTTCTTTGCTAAGCAGCCAGGCGTAACTTCTTCCTATTATGCGATTATCTTCATGAAGTTAAAATAACATGCTCTTTCATCAGGTCTCCTTTCGGTTGTACCACACAAGGTTTGCCTCGGAGGGCTAATTAATTAATCCACCAAAGTTGGGAGACTCCTTTTAAGGCATCAGCGGTTGTTTGAAGGCATCACAAAGCTTCAGGAATCTCAAGATCTCTCTCCCACTTGCCACCACCTCACTCCAAACTGAGATATGCTCTAACAAGTGTTAAATGAAAAAAGGACAATGGTGATAAAACCACTAGGAAGAGACTAAATTAACATCTCAATGCCGATTCCAAGTAGGTTGCCTTTTTTGCAAATGTGTGTACTACTCAGCAACAAAGGAGGCAAATTCAGGTTACCAAGTATGAAATACTGTTTTAAATAGTTGATATTTGCCAGAAGGAATGAAAAGACCCAGTATTTCAACTCCACGGAACAGAAACAAGAATACTGCATAGAAGATCTGGGAGATGCATAGTTCTCTAAAGAGTTAGTGACCAATCAGTTAAAGCCAGATGGTTTTGGCAACACAACACACTTCAAGAGATGTTGGAACAATCACAGACATTCCTCTGGAGTTTTATCAGACAGGAATTAACAGTCATCTGCAAACATGAGGACAGCTCAAAGGCCCCACAAACTGTAAGCATCCAGGCTGTCCCTCATGTGTAATGCCAGCCAGTTTCAACCAGATACTCTAACACCAATCTCTGTGATCTGCTATAGGACAAGACTAGTTAAAAAAAAAAAAAAAATTATGTTTTAAGATCTCCTCATACCAGAGGACTTAAAGTCTTCGCAAGTTATGGGAACAGATTTATATCTTGTTTAAGAATATTCACCTCATAATCCTGATTTTGAACCCTTTCCTGTAGGGAACAAGAACATAACATCAGTGAAACAATAAATCATGTTAAAGCACTCTCACATGCTTCTGTATTTTTCCCTTGGTAGCTAAACTCTTAACAGAGAGGTGAAAAGAAATCAAATGAAATGAAATGCAATGCCTTAATTAAGAATGCATTGAGAATTAGCATACTATTAGCATATCCTGCATGTACTACATAAGACAGCAGCCTCAATGGTTGGCACCTTGCTACTGTTCAGAGCCATGCAAACTCATCATTTGATATATTACATCATCGCACTGTGCAAGCCTGAAGTCCACATGTGGGCGCTCTACCTGAAAATTCCAGCTCTATAAGAAATTTCACCGGCCAAGCAAATGAACAGAAGCAAGGTAGGAGAATGACGAGTACAGCACTGAGAGAAGCGTGCAGCTTTTAGCCTGGTCAGGTCCCAACAT